CGACCAGCCCTAGACCGAGACCTATGCATCAGTGGAAAGTATGGTGTGTAAACGCTGTCCATCACTCTCTTTGTACGGCGTGAGGGGCACTCTCACCAAATATCCGGTTTTCTAGTAAATTCTAGGCTTGTCTTATGCAGGCTGTGCAGGTTGTCGTGAAAATTTCCCCTTGCCAAGCTTAACTTGTCGGCGTGTTTTGCGGATCGGAGCGTGCGTTTAGAGGGAGTGACCGTGCGTTTGTACGTCTAAATTTTATAGTAAAAAGCCCCGTCAGATGACGAAAGCGTGCGTTTGAGTGGAGCGTGCTTTTGTATGGCGTGCTTTTAGGCGGAGACTACTGTATTCGTGTGAGACAAAATTGTCCATTTATTTGATGCTCAATACAAATCCATTCCAGCAATAATGATACATCTCAATACACGTGCGATTTTACGTTTCCTTGATTAGGCACAGTTTTTTGCAATCTGACGTTTACAGGTTATTTCTGAGTGACCATTTCTCAGTCGACTTATATCATAGATGAAATATTAATGAGCCAAATGATGCAGAATTTATTTTGCTTTAGATTGATATGCTGCATGAGTGGGTTGTATAAAAAACCCACTGCACATCTCAATTGCGACAACAAAGTGTCGATATACGCATTAAAGACACATTGATTGTTCAAAGGCATTGCATCAACATTCCCCCTGTGTATTTTAAGCTTCTAACTGACGCGTGAATTAAAATACATGTATTAGAATTTTGAACAATATTTTCATACAGTGGTCGCGTTAGAAATTTTGGCGCATTAATTTGACCAGTTAAAAATTTGAGGCCATGGATAAAAGTAATGCAAGTAACAAGTTAAAGAAAGAACGAAATCAACATTTAGATTGATCTTCATCGATCCTCAACATTTCATCATCATCATCAACAGTATAATCCCCAATGGTACACAATCGAAACAAATGGAAATTATTTCCAAGCAATCCTTCTCTTTATCTGAAAAAAGACTAACAGTAACTATCACATTAACTCACGTTTTAATCATAACTTACCAATAATCGGCACCACTGACCAGAACACAGGATCAAAAAGAATATTATCAGCAAAGTTCTCTTCTCGATAGTTTACACAATCCAATAATTCTCAAATGAACCACGATATATGGAAAGCTTTTCCTACCCTCGGAGACTGTCCTCGTGTGAATGTTATTGTGTGTTTCTTTGTTTGAAGTTTAAAGTCACGTGTGTAGCGTGGGTTTATTACAAAGGGGTATGGCCTCTGGTCACATGATTCGATTGCGTTTGAATTCAGACCTTCCTTTCACCTTACAAATGTTTGTTACGCAAAAGCATCTCGCTGCCCTCCTGTCCACGCGGCTGCACCACGAGGTAGCTATCGATAATCCGCCTTTTGAATTGAAACCATAATCCTCACAAAGTTATAACTGGACTTACTATTTACTTTGAAAAGTTGTAACACAAAAGTGATGACAAGGGATAGGAGATCATATCCTTTTCTTTGGGGTGGCTAATACGATTTAGTGGTTTGTAATACTATGATAGCGAAGTGGTTGAATGGTCGTGACAACAGAAGTTGGCGATATAACTATTATGTCATAGCACGTGTGGACACATTAACAGACACCCACACACACACACACACACACACACACACACACACACACACACACACTCTCTCTCTCTCTCTCTCTCTCTCTCTCT